TCTGCCCCCCCCCCCCCCCAAAACCTGCTCGCAGCCTCCCAGGGAGCTGTGGATCTCTAGTTGAGAACTGCTCTAACCCACTCAAATGGAGACTGATACAGGAGCTGATGTCAAACGTTACGGACTATTTTGCAAAGAACCAGACTAGATGGCCATAATAGTTCCTTTTAGCCCTAAAAATGGTATCTTGATAAATATTTGTTGAGTCTTGGCACAGTGAAGGACTTGGGGTCTTCCTCCTTTATTTAGTATTTAATACAATTTAAAGTGGTCATGGGTTGAAGGTTAGCAGTAGGGTTTGGTATTCTTTGTTTTTAGAACACATATGGCTTAAGTTGAATACTGCTGTGGTGGGTGGGGAGCAAGAGGGTTAAAGCTCAGTTTTGTAATTCAATTCAGGGTGAAAGACTGAATGTGTAGCTGTGTGTGTGACGACAGTATGTGATGAATACTGATGAAGTTCAAGCAAAGATAAGTGACTGTATACAAATTATTATTTTAACATTTTCACTGTGTTTACTCTTTCTCCAAGCCTCTTACTTCCAACAGAGAAGAGGACCAATCATTTGGAAGGCAAAGCATGAAATCACCCTTTCTCCCAGAGAGCAATCTCTTATTTATATTATCTGTATCAAACGTCATTAAAAAAAAGTTTCCATATGGATTTGACAAAGAAAAAAATAATAATAATTGAAGGGAAGGATATTAGTAAAACTTTCTTACTATTTAAAAACTCTTCCTATGTACTTCTGTTAGAAATGCTTAAAAAGTGCCCTCCTCACATGCCTACACCTTTCCTCACTGTTTTTTAAAAAGTTCAGAAAGCCTCTTAAAGCCACCCCAAGATTCAGTGTTATTAAAAGTATAAATAAATTTAAATCCAAAAAGTGGCAGTCTTGTGAATAAATGGGAATAAAATGGCTCTGCTGTTTATGTTGCTTCCTTTTCAGATGGAGGAATGTTAGGTGAAGGGTGTTGGGAAAAGAAGAGGCTTATACCTGAATAAAACGTAGCATACCGCCCTGCCATCCCTGTCCTTTTGGATATAGGGCACTAAACTGCTGCACCTGCCATGCATCATTTTAAAAAGTACTGTTGGTTGAATAAAAACTGATTGAAGCCCAAACAAGTGCCACATATATTATGTTCATACTCAGGTCTTTACTAATAGTGACTTGACTTCTTCCATGGACTTTAGCCCCAGCTTCCTAGGCAGTGGGCTTTTCTTCATCTTACCTTCCTTAAATTTAGGGGCAAACTAGGGTTTCCTGTGCTGATCTGTTGCCTGTCCTAGATTTAACAGTCGAGTCCTCTAACTGAGGGCAGGGACAGGTTTTATCTCTGTAGGCCTTGCCATGAGATCTAGGAATATGCCCTAAGACAGGCCAGCAACCTTTTACAAGCAGTGGTCTGGAACAACCCAGCATCAGTCCAATGCAGACTGAGTGGCTTTGGCAACATGCTGGGTGGGAAGAGCCTTTTCCTGTGCCAGTGCTGCTGCCATTTCTCCCAGCTCCATTGTGGGCAGGGCACCAGTGAGGGGCTGCATGAGGACCAGGTGTCTGTAAACTGCATTCACACTGCCATCTTTTTTTCCTGCTCCCTTCCCCTGCCCCTGGGCCGTGGCACAAGCACAACTGGGAGCTGCCCAGCCCTAGTGCAGCTCCCCACTAGCTGGAAGCTGCACCCTTGCTAGGGGTGGGGGAAGGCAGTGGCAGCACAGATTAAATTTGCAGATGCCTGAGCCCAGCACAGCTCTCTGCAGGGTGAAAGCTGCACCCATACCACAGCCAGGCTGGGGAAGCAACAGCAGCACTGGTGCAGCTCCTAGGTGCCTGGCCCCATCCCAGGCCCTGGTGCACGGGCACAGGCAAAGCCCCCTGCCACTGATGTGCTACTGAAACCACCTAGACCCTGTTGAACCAGAGCCGGGAGGGCAGGGAGAAACGGCAGTGGTGCAGGTGAAGTGGGAAGCTGCCTGGCCCTAATGTATGAATAGGCAAGGCTCTCCAACTCCATGGGCCAGATCTGTCCTGTGAGCTGTATGTTGTTGACCGCTGCCTTAAAATATCTGACAGACATTTAATTTATTAAGAAATCCAGTTTTTGCATATATCATTTCACTTTCCAACAGGGTCTATGTAACTGAAAACTAGAATTTGAACTGGTCTTAGTTTAGTAGACCTCCCAGCCACACTCTCATATCTGTCAGGTTTCCCTTTTTATTTAAAACGTGAGAAATAATTGATCAAATAGCCAGAAGAAGGCACTTACATACTTCTCTACTTAATCTACATTGTTCCTTGC